CGTTACGGTCGTCGTAGTAGTGGTCGTACGTACTACGTAGTTAGTTAGTACGTTAGTACGTAACGTACGTTCGTACTAACCTTACTTACTTTCTCTCTCTCTCTCTCTCTCTCTCTCTCTCTCTCTCTCTCTCTCTTTTCTTTTAGTTTTTCATTTTTTGGGTTAATTGCAAACTTGAATTCCATACCATTTTGTGCTCTAAGTTTGATATTAGCTTTTGGACACCTGTCAAATTAGAGTATATGTGTGTTTGCATATTCTTGCGTATTCATGGTTACCAAATTTATTTAAGGGCTCTTTGAAGACCTGTGTTCTCTTTTGTTTTGTAGGCTACTCTCTGTTTCTTGCTCTGGTAATTGATCGAATGCACAACTATCTCAGCAAGCTAAGTGGGTCCAAGAAAACCCTTGGTAATTCAAAACAGCAAGCAAAGAAATTCCAAGAAGAGTATGCACTCCTCAAGGAAAAGCAAGAGAAGGCTTCTGAAGAGATAAGGGCACTCAAGGAAGAGATATCAAGCCTGACTGAGAGGTTGCAGAAACTGAAACTAGAATCTGATGAGAAGGAGAAACGAGCTCAGGCAGCAGAAGCCAATGTTATAGCCCTCCAAAAACAATCTGAGGACTTGCTTCTTGAATACGATCGCCTTTTGGAGGACAACCAAATTCTCCAAAGCCAGACACTAATGGGAGCTTACAGGACTTGAAACCACTTATTGCTCGCTTGGCGCGGTTTTAACTGCATATTATCCTGGTCAGCTATAACGCCTGGCAGCACATTGTGCAGTAGTTTTGGAAGTCAAAGGTGAAGTCCACATTTGACGAGAGCTGTTCAATGTTGTAACCTGCACTAATGTTGTTTCCTACTTGTTTTGTTTCTGTTGAATTTGGGTTTTGGAGTGCACTGACAGAATTTGCGACTCCTTGCTGTGCTTGTTGGAGAATTATGGAGTCCATGATGTAAAATTCTGGCAGTGGTTCCCTACATCTTTTGGCTGGAACTTAAGGGGACTGCAATGGATCTTGATTCTCCATTTGAAAATTTGTCATTTTGTGATGGAAAAATGCATCCAAAGTGTTTTCTACTGTTTTGGGATTGTGCTCTTTTGAACATGTATTTGTTCCCTCTTTATTTATATGGGAAATGAATGGCCACCATAGTGGTGTGCATAAACTTCCAGTTTGGATGTTAACAGTGTCATGCATATGTGTATGTGTGTCTGTGTGTGTGTGAGAGAGAGAGTTTGGGATATAGTAGTGTCCATAAGCTTAAGTTTGGATGTTAATTGTGTGTTGCCCTTAAATTGTAAATTGCTCGCTCTTTGTGCGTGCGCGTATTTGTACTCTCCCCTAAATGTATTATTGAGTGAAGAGATCAATGAATTAGGTAAAAAACAGGTGTTTTTTCCAATACCTGGGGAGGCCTTTATCTCAACATTTGAATTTTGTGATAACCTGGGGAGAGAAGCGGGACACCACGGACTTATCAAAGAAATGACTTTTTTCTATTCATAATTATGTCAATTTAAGAGCGGATCTTATTCACGAGTTAACAGGTAAATCGAAATTATTTGCCCAAACATGGGATGTTCAAACTTGCCTTGGATCAACATATTTTTAAGGGGGAAAATTTAAATAAGGTTGTAACATTATACTATATAATTATGGTGCACCACAAAAATCCAGTATATAACAGAGTTTCGAAGTTGGAAAATCTTCCAATTGATCATATTGTCCTCGAGGTGTATGGATACAAAGAAAAAAAAATTTCAAGTATTAAAATAATGCATCTTGTGACAAGTTATCTTTCTTATATAGATTTTCAATTGTTTAAGATCTACTTGATCTACACCATTTTTAGCATTTTAAATTTCATAACTAGTGTAAAACATGGATTTCAATAAGAATTTTGACTTTGGCACTCCATCTTCCAGCAAAATTTAGAGGTGCACCATCTTTATAGCATAAGGTAGGTGGTCGGACATGGGTTGAGTTGACCCCCTCTCGAACAAACGTGTGACCTTTGTCCGTGTTGTTTGCGTGGGTCATGCATCACTTTTTGCTGTTAGATATGTCAAACTATGAGATGATTTTAAAAGCGCCTAAGAAATGGACTAAACACCTACCTTGCTGCGGTTTGAGTTCGTGGGATAAGCCCGGGCTAATAATGCCCTCTTAGATCAGTACGGGAAAGCCCTCTAGCTGTCCACGAGCTCGGTTTGAACAACGCCCCCTCTCGAAAACTCAACACCTCAACTCGGAATCTCACTCAAGAAATTATTGATGGAATTCATATAAAATGTGCTCCTCTTTGATGTACATTTTTAATGGGTGAGTGGCTCTAGCTTGTTGGTTGAATGGTTTGGAGAAGACAGAGAGATAAAAGAGAGAGAAAGAAGCTCCTCACGACCCTAGCAATGTATGACCTGGTGGTTAGAGTAGCGAGAGGATAAAAAATTCTAAGAAAGCTGGCTCAGAATGACCCCAACTTGAGTAACTGGGCGTAAGAGAATCAATGCCTCTTATGATCCAAGTTTACTATATGAGAAGGTGGTTAGAGCAGCAATCCCATAATTAAGACCCTAAGACACTCTCTCAGGATGACCCCAAGTCAATGGTTAAGCAATGAAGGGAGCATCCAATGAAGAAGACGAGATAGGAAGATGATAAAATGAAAATGAAATGAAATAAATGTATGATAAGAAGAGTATGGCTGAGATAAGAAAAGGTCAAAGGTATAGATACAAGTGTAAGGACAAAGGGGCGGCTAAGGGTAATGAAAGATTAAGGGCGGATGGAGGTTAGTATGGGTTAGGGATGTGTGAGGGATTAGTTTGGGTGAGGGTACAAATGGGTGCTAGGATGTGTTAATGGCGTATGGGGTATAGGTGGATCGGCACGGGTAGGATGCAAAGGGATTAGGTGCTGACAGAAGTGTACTAGGTTAGGCGTAGGCAGAGGCGTGCGCATGTTTAGGCGCAGGCAGAAGAATGTTGGGTTAGGCACAGCCAGAGGTGTGTGCAAGTTTAGGCATGGGTGGAAGAGTTGCTGGATTAGGTGTGGGCAGAGGTGCGTACAGGATTAGGTGCTGGCGGAAAAGTACTAGGTTAGGCGCTGGCAGATGTGTGCAGGTTTAGGAGCAGGGCAGAAGAGTGTTGGGTTAGGCGTGGGCAAAGGTGTGTGGTGGTTGGGCACTGGTGGAAGAGAACTAGATTAGGCACTGGTAGGTTGGGCGCGGATATGAAGGGGTGAGAAGTACGTGATGATGTTGGGCGCGGGTGTGAGAACAAAGGTGAGTGAAGGCGCAGTGGAATGCTGGGCGCGGGCGTGAGACGAGGGCGTAAGAGAGAGTGAGTAGATGTGTGCTGGACGCGGGTGTGAGAGCGAGGGTATGAGGGAGTGTGTAGTAATGTGCTGGGCACGGGCAGCGAATGAGGAGAACAAAGAGATAAAGGCGAGTGGAGAAAGAAGGCCGAGCCTTCCCTAGGCGTGGGTCTGTGACTTCGAGTGGGAAAGAGAGAGAGAGAGAAAGATTAGGAAGAAGAAGCAAAAGAATAGGAGATGCTTGGGCCCGCCCTGGGTCCGAACAGAAGAGAGAGAGTGAAAAAGAAGAAAAGAAGAGAGAAAATAAAGAGAAGAAAAGAGAGAGGAATAGAAGAGAAGAGAGAGGAATAGAAGAGAGAAAAAGAATTAGAAGAGAGAGAGGGAGAGAGAAGAGAGAAAATGGACTTAGGATGTGTTTGAACCGGTGGTTTAAAAAACGGATCAGTGACCCGGATCGAGCATCCCAAAAATCGATCCGAATCGGTGAATAGGCTATCCGGATCGGGAATCAGGCAGAATCGTTCGGATTAGGTCTTAAAAAAATTCAAAAAATTTATTAAAATTCACTATAAATGTTGTTTTTTAGGAATTCAATAAGAAATGGGGGTACTACATTATTAACTTTCATTGTTTTCATCAATTTATGAATATTGAGATGTTCTTTCCCGGTATGAACTTATGTTGACCATTAAATTTACATCACACAAAATAAATCATAGAATTATCATGGATTAAGTATATAATCATATATGGACTACAATAAAGAGTTGACTAAATCGATGAAAAACTAGCCACAAAAATCTCGAATTGGCGGAAAACCCTAATCTGCTAAAAAAACTCAAATTATTACAACCTAACTAATTATAATATTATATACCAACAATATTTTATAATTATTTTATTATATAAATAATAACAAATCCAAAATATTTTATAATATCATCTAATTTAAAATGTATTATTGATAATTGTAAGAAAAATAATACACTACATGATTTATAATACAAAAATTAATAAATAAAATAAAAGATGTGGTTATCAATGTAGAAATTATTAGAATGCGTATCAATTTTTTTTAATTTTTTAGGTTTCAAGAATAAATTAGTGAAAGAGATTGTTAGTAGAAAGAGAGAGATTTCAAATGGCCTCATTGTATGAATCCTATCTTTAAATTAATATTACTAAATTTATGTTAAAGACCATCATGTTATAAAAATAAAAAATATAATTAGACCATTTATTTCTAGGTTGTATTAAGAAATACCTTTTATTTTTTTGACAAGAAATACTTATTGTGTTATCTTTTATTTTTTTTAACAAGAAAAATATGATACTTGTTGATTATCTTTTTTTTTTTTTTGACACAAGAAGAGGATGTACTACATTTTGTTTTGCTTGTAGTATTACTTTTTATTTTTTTTATCCTATGCGCTAGTACTAATTTTTTAATCCTAATTAATTAATTATTACTCATATAATGAAATAATATCATGATATAATAGCTTAATAGAGTTTTTATGTTTTTTTGGTAAGTAAATTTAAATTTTCTTGGCGAAAGATAGGGATGATAGGCACCTAATTATTATTTTTAATAATTTTTTTCTTTTTTTATCATCAAATTTCATTGCCACAATCGGACATACAACTTTCTTATTCATGACGGCGTACACCGTCGTGCGTACACCATCGCGCGTACACCATCTCACTGCAATTTATCCCATGCTAATAATATTTGCCAGTGTTTTTTCAACTCACAGATATATCCCACATTGAAGCAATGTGAGGAGAATGAATACTATAAAAAAACCCAACGATCTGGTTATGTTGAATGTTGTCTTGGCCATGTGAAGTGTGCGTATTGCACGTAGAGACTGTTTAAGCTGGCAATCACGTGGGGGGAGTAAGGTGGAGTGCCAGTTGGCATAAAAATTTGTCAATCACATTTGGCAATCACGTGGGGGGAATAAGGTGGACTGCCAGTTGGCATAAAAATTTGTCAATCACATTTCAAAAAAACCAGGGTGGGTGCATAAAAAGAAAATTGGATTGAAAAATAAAAAAGTAAGAACCGCCCGGTTTTCCCGACACTGCACTTGGATTGGTATCACCGATACCCGATCCGGATCGGATCGGCTATTACAAGGATTTGGGTTTCCTTATATAGAGCAACCACTAAGCAAGGGTGGAATGCTCAAAAGTACACAAAATTATTAAAAAATACACATTTAATGAATTAAATTAATCATCCCGTATTTGGACCAAATGACCCAAATAGCCCTAAGCACTTTTCAACAAATGACAAAACCATGCCTCCATAAGGGGCTTCTTGCCATTGCTAGTCTTCGGGTGAAACATTATGATGGTAATTCGAGCAATTAATCGTCGTAGAATTGATGCTTGAACTTTTGTGAACATTTTTATACCCTTTGATCGTCTTGAAAAGGATTTTTTAGGAAGAACCCAAAATCCGGCCGAGTCCATAAACTTTGCAATTCTTCAACCATCAATGTAATATGATCTATGACGTTCTAAGTTTTCATTTTTATCACAAATGAAAGAGGATACTGTCATAATCATTTTGCACTAAAGTTTGTCCATTTTGATCTCTATTTGAGCATATTCCAAATTTGGGAAGTCGCCGAAATATGGGATTCTGGCGATATTTGACCAAATGACCCAAATATCTCTAAGCACTTTTCAACAAATGACAAAACCATGCCTCCATGAGGGGCTTCTTGCCATTGCTAGTCTTCGGGAGTTTTTTCAAACATTATGATGGTAATTTGAGCAATTAATCATCGTAGAATTGATGCTTGAACTTTTGTGAACATTTTGATACCCTTTGATCGTCTTAAAACGGATTTTTTAGGAAGAACCCAAAATCCGACTGAGTCCATAAACTTTGCAATTCTTCAACCATCAATGTAATATGATCTATGACGTTCTAAGTTTTCATTTTTATCACAAATCAAAGAGGACACTGTCATAATCATTTTGCACTAAAGTTTGTCCATTTTGATCTCCATTTGAGCATATTCCAAATTTGGGAAGTCGTAGAAATATGGGATTCTGGCGATATTTGACCAAATGACCCAAATAGCCCTAAGCACTTTTCAACAAATGACAAAACCATGCCTCCATAAGGGGCTTCTTGCCATTGCTAGTCTTCGGGACTTTTTTCAAACATTATGATGGTAATTCGAGCA